GTATACACCATGTGTAACGTGTTACATGCTCTGTAAACATATAATACGTGTCGTTATATGTACATTTTTTAGGTACATAATTCAGATAATGTCAAGCTACATTGTTCCATCGATCTTGTTCTGCGAGAAAAGAAATCTCATGTATTAGTATCGTCAATAAACGAAGGGGGCTCGCAAGTATAATGAAAGTTAGATTGTAAGGACAATAAAGTAGAGGTCTTTTAGTAGATACGTATATTAATATCGTGTGTATCGTCGATTTCATCGTGATACCCTCGTGCTTTGCGATTATTTTGATAGATTTTGAAAATATTGTTATTAATTTTTAGAATTATTCATTGTTACTGACAGTGTCGTTATTAGCTTCGACTAATATTAAGTTTCGATTTTAATTTTCAATTTTAAACCTTCGAATTAATTATTCCTAGACTTTTGTTAAATATAACGTACGTTATCGACACTGTAGGATTGTATAATAATTATCAGAATTATTGTTAGTATTGCAATTATTAGTTTAACATACAGTAATACGTATGTCGATCGTATTACCACATTTAGAAGTATATGGAATTTATATTTAATAACAATTAGCAAAGAATTATAGCAAATTTTTGATTAGGAAGAATGTCGTGTTTGTATAATAAAAATGGCGATTTTCACGAAGCACGAGTGTTACACGAGCACGTACTCGCCTAAGTCTTATCGTGCTAAGCTTTTTGCAGCTCGTTGTTAAGTATGAACGTAGCTTTACTAATTATTCGTTGTTATTATATTTTCTGACTGTGAAATCTTCGAGTTACATGGCCATTGCGTGTGCACGGTCGGTCGTGGAGACCATTTTGCGTCATGCGAAATAATTTTGTTGCTCTACAAATAGGAACGTACGATATCGCATTCTTCTTCGAATAATGGCGCGTGCATCAAGAACAATATCTTGTGTTCCCTCCCGAAAGTAATACTTCGAAAAGAGTGCATTCTGTCTGTAGAAATTAGAATTAGGACTTTCTTAGTCTAGTCATTCACTAGTCACCCCTGGCGAATGCGTTTCTATCATAATCACCGGTACCATTAAGAAAATCATGGATCATTAAACGGGAAATAAAATCATAATTAAAATAAAATGATCACGATGGAAGTCTTCGTATTTACGATCGTTATGATTTAAAATGTAGGAACATCCGAAATAGCGCCCTTCGTAGAACTATTTCTTACAAGTTTAGGTGGTATTTCGAAATTATAAATTCATATCTGAACTTAGCAATGATTATATTATCGAGCTACTAATTACAAATTAGTAACTCGATAATTTTACTTATCACAACGCGAACGATCTTAAATAAATTCGTAGGTAAATATTTTTCAGCGATAATAGAGTCGAGTAGATTTTTCGAGATTCAATTTTTTAGATAAATTTCGATTCCGTTTAGATAAATGAAATATTTTGTTCGTCCATTGATAAGGATAAAACGTTCGATCGGTCATTATGGAAAAATGATTGGCAATTTCTGCAATGATTCACCTAGGCATGTAAATGACAGTTCAACGTTCGAAATTCTCGTGGACCCGTAACTGGTGTAGGTGCGTGTGTGTGTCTGTGTATGCGCGTGCGTGTGTACATATACATACTTATATATACGTATATATACATGATACACGTTATTATACAAATCTCGATCGATCCTAGTGTATCGAACTGACAATATTAAAGTTGATTGGACTTATGATTTAACCGACAATAATGTATTTGTTAAGGACATTTGAGAACTAGTGTTACGCGTGAGTCAAAAGAATCTGCTCTTCCGTGCTGTGCATCAAAGTACACGAGATTTTAGCGTAAATCTACTCTCATGCTCGATCACACGATTCATGTTCCCGTGCTTCAGGGTGTATCTTCGATTAACGTATTCTCTCAACGAGAGTTACCGAGATGAATTTCGATTTACGTCTCTCGAACAGTGACAATGATCGTGAGATCCAATTTCATTACGAAATTCCATACGTTTGTTTCATACTTTCCAGCAGATCACTGAATTGGATAACGTAAGAGTGAAAGTAGGTAGTAGGGAGAAGTTGAACCGACGAGAAATTTCTCGAAATGCCATTATTTTTAATATTTACTGTACGTTGGGTATCTTGTTAGGTACAACGTTGTTAATATTCTTTTGTTATTGTTATTTATTGTTATTTTTGAACTCTGTAATATTAATCACTCTTTGTTATTAAAAGCAGTATTGTTCGAGATTGGTTCAAATTTTCAGAAGACTCTTAAAAGTTCTGGGACATTGTTTGGAGGTTAGAGTTTTGGCGCGAGATTCAAATTGTTGATAGCATAGGTGTATTTTTCGTTGGTAACGCGTTGCAATGTCGATGTATAATATTAGTTTGACCGTTTTAAAATTGGAAGACACGTGGAATTCAATGATCGCTTGTATCATTGTCACGGTTGAAGAGTCGAAGGCCATTAAATATTCGCGATCATGGCACGCCCTGGTATCAAAGTATAATTGCGGAAGGATCTATTTGCCGCGTGAAACATTCTCTTTTCTGTGTCCATTGACGTTCAATCTCTCAAAAGTAATCACTAATTCGCACTCTCTTATAGTGGTTTCATTATTAACAGAGATATGGCAGAAACAGCAATCTTAACGCCCGTTGCGGCCAATTTAAAGAAAATCTATTTTGACTGTTTAATAAAAAAAAAAGAAAAAAAATAAATAGCGGGTCTGTTCTATTATATACACGTAGCTGCAAGTTAGAATGAAAACAAAGCAGAAAAATGACTCATTGTTACACACGCCGGTAAGGTCTGGTTTGTTAATAATTATTATAACAATAATTATGTAAAATATGTATGTATACTGTAATTTTGAGTGTATTATGTAATTAAAAGAAAAACAAAAAAAAAAGACACTGATTATTGACAATAAATTGTAAGCCGATCTTTTCAAATACACACAATCTTCTTTCAGATAGTCGAGTATAATAAAGCTGAAAACCGAGATCGTGGATTTTGTGTCATTTCCTTTGATCAGAATATCAGTACGGTAATAAGAAATCAATTCTATCGAGTTGCTGAATTAGTCTTTTATTTTATCAAATTTATTATTGATTTACTATTATTATTTTAGAATACACGCATGCATAATTTCTTTAAGAACCTTTATACGTTAATCTCGTATGGGTTAAAACCCCGGAATAAGATTCTACGTATCCATAAGCGTCAAACATCAATGATCTACGTATTGACAGAACGATGGAAAACCAACAAAGGGAAGCTATCCTGCTTAGTACTAAGTATCCTTCCCATTTTTCCCATTTCAATTACTAAATTCAGCTCGTTACAATTATTCCAGGTTAATTTTCCCGATTCATACCTACGACGATGACAAATCCAATCAAGATCCAATACCAAGATCCTCTCACGTCCTAGTGACACATCTTGATCAGATTATCGAAGCTTCGAAGAGTCACGAAACGTGGAACCAAACATCAACGATCTACGTATTGACAGAACGATGGAAAACCAACAAAGGGAAGCTATCCTGCTTACTACTAGGTATCCTCACCATTTTTCCCATTTCAATTACTAAATTCAGCTCGTTACAATTATTCCAGGTTAATTTTCCCGATTCATACCTACGACGATGACAAATCCAATCAAGATCCAATACCAAGATCCTCTCACGTCCTAGTGACACATCTTGATCAGATTATCGAAGCTTCGAAGAGTCACGAAACGTGGAACCAAACATCAACGATCTACGTATTGACAGAACGATGGAAAACCAACAAAGGGAAGCTATCCTGCTTACTACTAAGTATCCTTCCCATTTTTCCCATTTCAATTACTAAATTCAGCTCGTTACAATTATTCCAGGTTAAATTTCCCGATTCATACCTACGACGATGACAAATCCAACCAAGATCCAATACCAAGATCCTCTCACGTCCTAGTGACACATCCTGATCAAATTCTCGAAGCTTCGAAGAAGTCACGAAACGTGGAACCAAACATCAACGATCTACGTATTGACAGAACGATGGAAAACCAACCAAGGGAAGCTATCCTGTTTGTTATCAGGTATCCTTCCCATTTTTCCCATTTCAATTATTAAATTCAGCTCGTTACAATTATTCCACGTTAATTTTCCTAGTTCATATCTACACCGATGACAGATCCGATCAAGATCCAATACCAAGATCCTCTCACTTCCTAGTGACAAATTTTAATCAAATTATCGAAGCTTCGAAGAGTCACAAAACGTGGAACCAAACCTCAACGATCTACACATTGATAAAACGGTGTAAAACCAACCAAGGGAAGCTATCCTGCTTATTACCAAGTATCCTTCCCATATTTCCCATTTTAATAACTGAATTCTGTTCGTTACAGTTACTCTACGCCAATTTTCCCGATTCATACCTACAACGATGACAGATCCGTCCAAGATCCAACACCTAAGACCATTGCATAAAAATCACACGAGAAACGATATATTTCACTCGCCCTCTCACTTCCTAGTGACAAATCTCGATCAACTTCTCGAAGCTTCCAGGAATCGCGAAACCTGGAACCAAATCAAACTTTCTCAACAGGATTTGAATAAAACTCCGCAAGAGATAACGAAACGTCGCTCAACACGAACCGGGCGTAATCGCACGCGCTTTCCCGGAAGTCGAGGTTCTGCTCCAACATCCGTCGAAGATGCAACACCCTGGCCGACGTCTACGCGTGGATTGCGCCCATTGCACGAACACTACGAGTATTTCGCGATGCGTGATGCGTGTGGCCACTGGCGCGCGTAAAATCGGAGAGAGAAGCTATTGAACGCGCCGAGCGGCTTGTTACTTTCTAAAGTCCCCCCCAGGGTTGGTCGTCTGTATCCCTACGGTGACTTTGCGTGTTGCAATCGACCTGGAGAAGCGGCGGGAAGCACTTTTACTGATTTTTCACCACCGCGTGTCTGAATGTTATATCACAAACCACGGGAGTGCGGGAGATGGCGGTCAGTGTCGTGAGATACCTTGTGTTCGTCTTCCTCGCCGGCCTGCAGCATCGTAAGTAGCTCGATTGCCCATCGCAGATTCGTCTTCCACGTCTGCGAACCGCGAGAAATTTCCGCGTGGACGTTGATCTTGAAAGTTGGTGCGAGGAACGTGTTTGCCGGAGAAACGGTCTCTTACCTGGCCGTCGTCCAGGGAAAATTATCTTCGTTTACCTCGACGCCTGCTACGTGATTTCTAAAGTGTTTTCCAGGAATACTCGATAGTATCGGTCTACGGGAATAGGTCTGTTCGGTGCTCGTAGTGTTGGTGGTGTTTGCGAATGTTTGTCCGGCTTCTACCGGGGATTCATCGACCCGATTGCTTCGAAAATTGTTTGTCGTTGAAGAAGAGTTTAGCTCCGTTTTTAGAATACGAAACGAGGGTACGAGAATTCCGATGACAGAAAGTGTTTACTCCTAGGGGACAGGTATTTTGTTGTGCATATCGTGGGACTGTTCCAAGTTCCCTACATCGTTCTTCTTATTTGTTTTTGGTTAAGTTGCTTTGTTCTTCTCGACACGTAAGATCTATTCTTTTCTTATAAAAATGTCAATTACATATTTCGTATTTCGATTAACGAAATTTTGACACGTGACAGGTTTTTGCTTACAATCTTCTTAGGATCATTTACGTTTGAAACGTATAACAAATAACAAAGATATATCGTGATACGAATGGTTGTACCAGATTTCTTAATTTCCACGTTGATAGAATCGTTTAGTGAAAAATAGAACGGTTTTTGTACTAGATTGATATCAGAAGTCCATAAATAAATCTTCACTCGACGATTTGCTTACAGCGTCGATCGTGAAGTAATTCGATCGATGCTTATCGATCATCCTTTAGGTTTTGCTCGCCAGTAAACAGAAAGGTTGCATTGCTCGATAAATTTGCCATGCAGATGAACAATGGCATAAAGTAGAGCACGCATCAAAGATCGTCTTCGAAGGTAAATGCAAACGGAGCTGAATCAACATTGTCCTAGTCTTCGTCGTTGGTCGAGTGTTTATAGAACTAAGATGCGTTCATGGTTCTTCTTTTATCGTCGATCATTCCCGTATCATTGCCGCAAGAATACACTGACTAAGAGAGGCGCAACAAAAAACTAATCGGAACGGAATAACGAGACGACCGACCTTCACCCGTTTTCCTAGTTTCTTACAACGGTCGAATAGTTTTTGCTGCAAGACCCTCGATCAGAAGCGGTAGATCTTGGAAGGCGTACGGTTAACCAGGCGTGCAAAAGTAATTCACGTGGAATCGGAATCGTTCGGGTTGGAAATTAGGGGTAATCGGAGCGCGGACTCGTAACGGGTGTCGCTTTCCTTCCTAGATCATGTGAGTGCGGAGACCAAAACGTTCAAGGACCTGTTCAACAGCACGTCCTGCGCCAAACCGCCCTTCGAATGCCCGCATCCGCAGATAGAATTTTATTTATACACTAGGTAAGCCATTTTTCTTCAATTCCACGCGATTATATCGATTAATGTAATTATAGGATATTCAAATTTAATTGGTCATTTATTTTTAATCTGAAATGTGTTCCAATTTGCAGTATTTCTTTTATCTCATTTTATGTGCTTTTTGCTTAATGATTTTTATATTTTGTCAGATTCATTCGACAGATGTAACCAAAGATATTTCAAGAATGTATAATTATTAGTTTCGTATTTACGAGGCTCTTCACGATAATTCTAATAGGAAGTTGTAAATAAGTTAGTTTAAATGAATATAGATTTTTGTAAGTATGTATCAAGTTCAAATTTCTCTACGATAAGATCAGGATAATCCACCAGTTCGATCGAGTCATAACAGGGTAAATACCTCAGTAAATAAATAATAAAACGTGTTTCGTTCCCGTTTCTTCAAAATTCACCAAAAATCTGAACAAACTCGTGGATTGGCCTGATACAGTGAAAAATACAATGTTCTTTAACACGTTGACTGCCACACAACTTTTCACGATTCCGTTATAAGAAGTCAATTTGATTTAATCATGTTATATTATTAAAAACTTTATTTATAGTACATAGTAATAAAAATTGATTGTTTTAAAAATGATCACAAACCATAAAAATGTTATTCTGCACGAACAAACTTGTATAAATTTTTCTTTTTGAATTATAATACTGTTATACTAGGGGTTTGCTCGTAGCTGTACAAATGTGGCAAGTAACGAAGGGTCGAGATAACTCGTAGTAGGTATCCTGGGCAAGGAAACAACCTACGAAATATCTCGTAGTTGGCAGCCAACGTTAATAGGTCCCTCCTAGAATACAAATTTAAGAATATTCCGTAGATTCATCAATGGCAGCAATTAACCTTAGGACCGACTCAGTCACCAGTTAGATCAGCACCAGGATCTAATAATTACACCGAGTGCCTTACTCAGAAGTGACTTCCTAAAACACAAAGTTCGTTACTCCTCTTTGTAACACCCTACCTGTGATTATCATCCTACCTTGGCACAAGATATAACTGCAATTATCGTAGCTATTCGACTAACAAGTCAGGGACGAGGAAACTCAAGACGACGAAATGCTAACTTTCTATCATCGCCGGTCTCGTTCTGTCTCGCGTTTCCCGCCACCATCTCGGAATTCGATCTCGCCTTCAGCTGGATAGCGCAGGTGAAAAAGGTGTGCTGCCTACGCGACGCCGGACGTTCTAACTTTCGGTGAAATTTCCCCGTTTACTACTGCGTTGGTCGAGCCACGCACGGTTCCTCGCCTCGCTTTCCATCGAGAAGGTTCACCTCGAACCGGAGTGGCCGTAAGGAAGAACCTCGACACGAGACTCTCGATTTCAAGATCACGATCAGTTCGTCTTGCACTGAAAGTGGCCTCGTTTCAAGGTTCACCTTTCTCCGTTAGCTATAGGCTCGTTGGCACGTCTTAGTTACTTTTACTCATTCGTGTTTCCCACCTTTGCCCCGTTGCCGTCTTTCTGTCGGACGACGCCTTGTTTTGAAACGGGAACTGAATAATTGCTTTACGCTCCTGCTCGTGACATTTTGTTTTAATTATACGTAACAATAGTTCGTCGCAACTGTGTCGATTATTATGGAACTGTGTCGAATAAAAAATCCCACTTCGTTCAGATTTAATTTCCTAATTGATTTTTGAATTTATTATGTATTGGAAGCACGAAGTTCTTGATACTTCGAGACGAAATTTTTGTAACTCTTTACTAATTGTAAATTAATTATGTTTCCTTAGATTAGTCTCTTCTTTTGACTTTTCTTTTGAGTGTACTATTAGGATTGTTTATTTTTTAAGGAATTTTTGTGATCGAATAAGGTATTACGTAGTCGTAGAAAATTATTATTAGAGACAGGGTAAGTCGGTTTGATGAAGCAAGTATGGCAACGAGAGTGAAACTTTGCTCGATGTTATCTGCAACGAGATTTCCAGGCCATTGACATTTGCTTTTCAAGATCGGGTACTTTTATCGTGATATTATATTTTCAATGACGAAGGCATTTCATTGGTTGGAATGTTTAAAGCTTGTTCCATACTTGTTTATTATTTCATATATAGTATGATACTTGGTTAAAAATGGTATAGTACTGGTTTGATACTTTCTCGCTCTGGCATTCGACTACTGTTTGTTGTTGATGATGTGTACATGCATTTCCTTGTTTTCCTAGAAAGGTCGTTCGAGAAGTGAATGTAACTTTCTTGTTCCGATATGCCCTAACTTACTTTTATTCTTTTATCTTGCAGGGAAACGCAAAAGAAACCTTTGCGTATAGACGTTCGAAGGTTCGAATCGCTTCATTACTCTAGATTCAACAAGTCTCATCCCACTAAGATCATTATTCACGGTTTCGGAGGAGGCAGGGATTTAATACCTAGTCCGGATATTCGAAAAGGTATCTTTCTCGAGAAATTAACATCTTTTATTAAATAAAATTCTGTTCCATTAAATGTGACAAAATTTCTGAAATGTCGGATTATGTTTCAGTGGTAATTCAGCTAAACTCGTTATTTAATTATATAAAAGTCTAGTTTTGCATAGTTTTATTCAGAGAAAATATAGCGTGGAATAATAATGGACTTTCTGAGACGTATTTCATAGCGAAGAGTGACGAATTTCGATGACGAAAGTTAGTGTCGTGTGAAAGTTTACGTAGCATTCCACAACCGTTCAGAAAGTTATAAAATTCAATTTAGTGCCAGAGAAATAGTCGGTAACTTTTGCCCGCGTTGCTCTGATTACTATTTAAGAGGTTACAAGCAATAATTCCAATATTAATTTAATGGAAGATTAATAAACAATGATGTTACGAGGCTTCATTTCATTTTACCCAAAAGGCTGCCATTTTTAAAATCAGCTGGCTAATCAGAAAATATGACGAGCCTTGCTCCTCGATGATCTTGAACAGGTAATTGAGTTCAGGAAAATTGTATTACTAATCATTTCTTTTTAATCATATATCTCTTAGAAAAGAGAATCGCTATAGTTATCGAGAATTTAAAATTATCGAGATTCCATAAATTTTTCGTAATAAAATATTGATATTCAAACAATCGTGGAATGTATTAATTATATCTCAATTTTATGGATCAGTAATTACTCGAAACAATAACTTTCATGTATCCAATATAAATCAAGAAAAAGAAAAGAAAAAGAAAAAGTGGAAAGAGAATGTTTTGTTAATAATTATCTTTTATACCTCGGCGGAACATTTATCGATCGTCTGTTAGATTACGTTCACAGTCGATATAGGTTATGATCCGATCAAGTTAGCATGGGTTAGGCATTCGCACACGATGGTCTCGATGTATGAAACTTTCGATTTCAGCGTATTTCACGCGAGGCAATTACAATATTATAATCGTCGATTACGGTTCGTTGGTACGCGAGCCCTGTCTGTCGCAAATACAATGGGGTCCAGATTTCTGTTCACGATGTATTGCTCAATTGGTAAGGTACTTGAGGGATCATCCTCGGGGAACGAGGGTGGAGAATATACACGTGCTGGGGTACAGCGTTGGTGCTCATATAGCTGGCCTGATTGCCAATTATTTGCCAGATGACAGACTTGGAAGGATTACAGGTAACAATTTAATTATTTTCACTTACGTCTGCTTCAAATAATTATACTCCGCTTCTTACTTTTGTTATATTCCCTTCCCAATCGCACTAATCGTATAATTTATCGTTAATCAATCGCAGTTAGTTCGTGCAATTATTAATTATTGGTATTGTTATAGTTTTAACTTCCGCTTGCAGTATGGAAATATTTTATAACTCGACTAATTTTCAAAAATTGCTTCATTTCATCCTAAGTACAAGCCTGCAAGTATGTACTTAAATTTTTATTTTGTTGTTAACTTCGTTATTTTTCGATATTCACGATCGAGTATTATTTCGCGTAAAATCAAAATGGAAAAGAGTGTAAGATGAAAATCGTGGGATACTTGATCTAAAATGTACCATGATCGATATCACGTTATCTCGTATCTCGTTCGCTAGTGCTCGTATCTCGTTCGCAAGTGCAAAACAATCGCGATACATTTTCACTTCGATTAAACCTCTTTCGCAAATTCCTCTCTCCAGTTGCTCAATCATTTACGACCACCTTCTAAAAGTGGTAAGGTCGGTCAGTTTGGTATGAAAATCGCTCTCTAACATTACTGCGTTTCCATGTTTGCGACTGCCAGGACTCGATCCCACGATATTTTTCTACATGAACGGAAACCGGTCAATGGATTTAGACGAAACGGATGCTCACTTCGTCGACGTGATTCACACTGGTGCCGGGATTTTGGGCCAGTGGGGACCGACCGGTCATGTAGATTTCTACGTGAATGGCGGCTCCAGTCAACCCGGATGCGCCACCACTTCCTTGCTCCGTAAGTACTTAGGATCTTCCTTGAGAAAATCTTTTGCTAATCCTTCCAGTGTTTCGTTCAATCTTCCAACCATTCGCAATGGTTCAACTATTTCCAAACGTTGAGTATACTCGACAAAAGCAGAGTAAGCGTGCTATAAGATTGCTATGGCTATAATAAAATTGTCAAATTTTATTTAGCTTCCTTTTTAATTTATATATTAATATTTAAAGTATCAATTAAAAATTTGTTTAGTCATAAACAGAACGTTAAATGTTAAAATGGTATATTTTTGGTTTCACTTTCTCTGAGACTCACTAGTTTTAAACGTTGAGTATACTCGACAAAAGCAGAGTAAGTGTGCTATAAGATTGCTATGGCTATAATAAAATTGTCAAATTTTATTTAGTATTAAGTATTAATTTTAAAATGGGTATATTTCTGGTTTCACTTAAATTATGCTTCAATTTTTTGGTACCTCTTTTTCCATCACGAGTAAATTGGCATCTGTTCGTAATGAGTATACTCGTCGTGAACATGAGAAGAGATGAGGATCACGTGTACGATGCTATCTGTTATTCCCTGTTTGGTAAATTGCTTGGTATTTATAAAGTATATTAATGGGACGTTGTCGGAGGTATTATAAATTGAAAGTAAACGATCGAGTTGACGTCGAACGAGAAACAAATGACAGTTTTGTTATCTCTCAATCTTCTCGATGTAATCTGGTCTTTTCGCGGATCTAGTTCTGTCTCTAGGACTTTCGCGATGGAGGGTCATTTTTAGCACGAATAGAGATTTTCTTGGAGATCGTTGAAAGTGGAGAAGGTTCTAAAATGTGCCAAGCTAGAAAGTAAATCGACTTATCAATGTACCTATTCATTTGCATTCATCTTTTTCGAATCTTCTGAGTTCAGGTTGTGCTACTTCGTGAAATAAGAACAACGATCTTTAGTTCTTTTCTACTTATCTTAGTTCTTTTCTAAGTCACGAACCTCGTAGATATTACAGACGCGTGGATACGTTCCATAATTTATACAGAAATTTATCTTTTTCTAAGGAACAAGTTGTTTCGAAATTTTTCACAATTTATTTCCACTATCACGATCTTTTAAGAGTATCTCAAAGGGGGACCAAGATTGTCGTTCATTTGAAACGGTGAAAACGTATGATAAAGAAGTATAGAGTCGTCTCGTCATTAGAGAAAATGTTCCACGATGATCAACTGTGAATGAAATCAGTGAAACGTTTCGTCCGCAGAGACGCTGTCGTGCGATCACACAAAAGTGACGCCCTATTACATAGAGTCGATCACCACGAAAGTAGGATTCTGGGCAGCACCGTGTGGAAATCTCTTTTCCTACCTGATCGGCTGGTGCAAACCGGACCTCGAGGAGTATATACTCATGGGAGAAGACACCCCGCATACGTAAGTCAATTTTTATATATTTTAATTCAAAATATATTTCCAACCTCACTAACCCTTTGCACTCCGAATTCTTTTTCAATTTCGTTGCCAATAACTCCCTATTATTTTAAGTATTTTATTTAAAATTTATTTCGCAGGACAGTTCTTCGATTGCTACTTATTTTAGACAATTTAGTTTACTGATTATATTAACACTTTAATGGCAGTCAAACGTTGTCACGGGCGGGCAATATTTTTGAAGAATTAATTTAATGAAACTTTATTTAAAATTCACAAAATAATACAACATGTGCGAACATACACATAAAACGAAGAACAATAACAATTTAACAACAAATTTAATATATTTCCTTTGTGTGATAATTATTAATTATTAATCAGCAGTAGCATCACATACATGCTGTGCGAGCAGCCATTAAAGTGTTAAATATAGCTCCCAGACGTTGTTGTAATTTATATTTTGAATTTAAGTAATTCAAAAGTAGTAGTTACTTATTTTCTGTTTTCTTGTTCAGTAAATAAAGAATTAAGAAACTCGACATAGGAGTTCTTGTGGTGTAAACTGATGTCGAGTCACTCTCGACAAAGGGGTGCAAAGGGCTAATAATTCACCTGTTATTTTATTCGTTAATTAATCTAGTTTCATTTATCTTTTTCGTCTCCATACATGCTACGACATAATCATAAGAAATTATAGTTAAACTCTAAATTCGTTTTTTCCACAGATAAAATTGTGCAAAAATTTTGAAGTACGTCAAGTATTATTTTAGTCATCCGACAAGTGCAGCTTGTCATTACGTGACTCGTTATGCAAATTCACGACGAGCTACACTCGTTTCAATCCAGGGAGTGAATTTCTTGTCATAGAAATGTTAAAAATTTGTAGAAAGTGAGGAGATGAAAAAGAAGGAATTAAATGAAACTGGATGAATGTAACGAACTGGATCGTTTAGTTCCGAAGAATCGCGCGCTGATAATTTATTTAGATAGAGACACGAAGAATAAATGTAAATGCGCCATGAAGGGGTAAATGATCTGATGAAAACTGACATTTGGCATCTGTTTTAGAGCACGAGGCATCTACTATCTCTCAACAAACGGACACAAACCATACGCCCGAGGCCTTCCCGTAAGAAGCCAACGAACGACAAATCGGAACCGATCGTTCTACCGCCAGTATTGAGCTTACTAAAGCAGCTAATCAACATAATTATAGAATAACTTTAGCGCACGTGGCTGTTAGTTGTATGCGGTGTGTTATGTTTGGCTCTGTTGTTACTTTGTACATTCTTTAATTAGTTGTTAGATAATAACCGATTTTTCTACGCAACCTACCGTGAACCATTGTTGGTTCGCTGATTAGTGCGTTTGCATCGGATTCTATTATTATGGTGTTCCAAGAACTTTCACTCTTTCAAGAAACGTTATAGAATAATTTTTCTCTGTATGTAAGGGATTCAGTGAAGGCAGGGCTTTTCCAATCCGCGTGTCCAGCACCTACACAGGCGTTTCCTTGCAGTGGTGACCCTAGAAAGTATTGTAACACCTCTCTCGCGAAGCCTGTATAGAGCTCTAGCCCGGGGTACGGTGCGGACTCCAACAGGCGAGCCCCTAAATCGCACATAATATTATACTTGTATGTAAGGGATTGTACGGGCCATGGAGACCAACGATTGGATCTCATATCCATATTAGACTCGAAGTGGCCGAAGAATAATACGCCAATATCGGGTACCTCCTGAGACGTACCCCTACGATCAACACAGAGTCAAGTGCAGGTCGACTTTCTTGTTGGTTGGACCATGTCAGTTTCATTGGTATGATGTCGATAAAATTGCAAATTCCACCTGTTATGCTATAAAGGCGAGGTATGATAAGAGCTGCTCATTGCGCAAAGAAGCTCAAAATAGACACAATACTCGTATGTAAAGAATCATGGACCGTGGAGACCAACAGTTGGATCTCATATCCATGCCAGACCTGAAGTGGCCCAAGAATAATACACCAATATCAGATACCTCCCCCTGGGCGTACCCCTACGACCAACACAGGGTTAAATGCAGGTCGATTTCCCCGTTGGTTGGACCATGTCAGTTTCATTGGTAGATGAGGAACCTCGCATCCAACACCTATCAGTATGCCACAAGTCGAAGAATGACATTAAGCCTTGCAATGCACTGAGCAAATGCGAAACAGACACAGTACTTGTATGTAAGGGATAGTTGGCGTTGGTTTTCGAGATATTTGTAAAAGATAGTTGACACTATGACAGTGTACAGGTGTCACTTACCTGCTGCTGGCCGAGAACGCTCCGCAGGGATTACCTATGTGTGAGATATCGTTTCTACGAGAATTTCCTCGATGGTAAATTCGAAATAATATCTTCAGGGAAAGGGAAAGGGACGATTCATCTGAATTTTATGTTAACAACAATATTTATTACATAATAATTACGATATAATAATAACTTCTATGGATTTACAGTACACTGTCGCGCTAAACCTTAAGTATGTATAATATGCAATGGAATGATTACAAGTTGTTAATACATCCACGTTTCAAGCTTGGAGGCATTCAGGGGCGTCGTTTGTTTTTTCTCAGGTTGGCTCGAATGCGATGTACAGGGAAACGCGTCCCTTTTTCTGCTCCATATTTCGCTCTCTTTCTCTCTCTCCCTCTCTCTCGCTCTCTCTCTCTCTCTCTCTCTCTCTCGCTCTCTCTCGCTCTCTGAACGGGAACGATGCTCGAGCTGGATCGAAGGTAAAAGATCGATCAAGATCTATTGTCGATATTAATTCGTTCACACGGGCATCGTCCCGAAACGTAGGACTTCGAGTTTCATGTATACATATATATATTTATATATATAGGTCTATGTTCTGTATAGATCATAGAGTTAAGAATAAATTCTCTACACCTCACGGTGAACAACGTAGGATCTACGATAAAAAATGGACAGCTTCGGTTGTTCGATGGAAAATGACAACGGAAATCAACCTCTAGCGCGGAGTCTTTTTCTTCCGGGAGCCAGAACGATGCTTCAACAACTGCAATCAGCTGTGTGCGTTTCATTTTTTTTTTCCTTTTGATTTTTTTTTTTTCGTTTTTCGTACCTTTGTTTCTTTATATTTATTTAATTCTTTATTTCTATTTTGAATTTTTCTTTAATTTTTTCGTATTAATATTAGCGTATTTGGTATCAGTATGCTTTTCGTCGTTGTTGATCGGTTGGTACACTCCATTATTGTTTTCACCGAAGTTCTCTTTTTGCCTTTGTTTCTTTTTTTTTCTGTTTTTTTTTTTCTTATTTGGACCCTTTCGCGACGGTAACGTCTGTGTAAGAATTTTTGTCATCCATTTTGGGGTTCCGTGTAAATCGTGAGGGAGCAATTTGTACGCGTTATAAATACAATTGTACAGCGTGTATCATTTACAAGGCGCAAGCAGTTAAATCGAGATTCGAAGTTCGAGTCTTTGGTATGAGGATCATACGTGGTAATTTCTGCGCCGTTTGCACTCCTTCCCGCCATTTTTCCACCAATTTTTCGCAATTCTTCTCTCACTCGGGTCTGACAGATGAGTATTATCTTACGTGAGAAACTTCGAATCTTGCGACAGTAAATAGTTTAATAAATTATTTATCTTTCGTTGACGTCGATCGGTATTGTTGAATGAAAAACTTTACGAATATATAGAAACTAATCTTTTGCTATCGCTAAAATCTGATTCTTTATCTACATCGAGTATATCATTGAAAACCGTCCCAAAAGGGTTGAGGAAACTCGTTATATTCGTTATCACTAGAGGAAACTAATTTTCATTTTCCATTTTTTACTTTTTTTTTTTTTTTTCATTTTCTTCTCTTTTTATTAGTGACGAATTACGGTGAAGGGGAAAGTTCGAAAACTGAGCAATTCGTACATCATCCACGAAGGAATTGCAAAATCTTTGAGGATTCTCGTTTGAATTCTACGCGTGGTTATTCTGCTGTGGCATCGTTCTACTCGCGAAGAAATAAGCGTGAAAGAAGAAAATAAAGGAAATCGGTGAGTTCACCATCAGACTAAATTAAGGCTTTACAAAGATTCATTGTATTTTTCTCTCTTCTTTATTTACATCATTGTTTTTCGTGCGCTACGTGCCATTTGGTCTGACGTACACATCTGTTTACGACTCTCGGACGATCTTTACACGGCAAACACGACGATCGTGGCCGTGTTCGTCGGTTGGATCGATGATCCGCCATTGCGCAGGAAATTCGAAGGGTTTGAAGAGCACAAGCCATTGCTGTACGCGTTTAGAACTGCTTGGAAACGACCATGCTCGAAAGACTGGCGCGGTTTATTATCATGGAATTTATTTCTTCGCGTTTTAATCGCCATTTTGTAACTAGACGAGGGAAACGAATTGTCGGCTACACGTGATCTCCGTGAACTGCGAGTGCTAGCGATGATCGATCATGATTGCCACTACGTTCTCATTATCGAGATGAATCTTATCGTCGAGCGATACGGACAGGTGATTGACGAGACAGTGACATGAAAACACGGTGAAAAATTGATTTCCAACAACCATGGAAATGGCACGGAGGAGTGGGAAGAATTGAAACGCGTTAAAAATAATCGGCAAGGAACGTAAGGGTTATTCGAAATTGTGAGTGCACCGTTTTACGATCGCTACGTAACGTAGTTGTACGTTTTGTAAAAAAGCACAGGCATCGAGGTCTTTAGGCACATGTATTGTTTGCTCATCACTGTAGATCCTTTCCCAATTTCGCCATATGCTTTCGAGCGTGCTCCACAGTCGCTAAGCACAGTGCTGAATCTGCCAAGTATCAGGAAAAATCCGAATTTTGGAAAAGAAATGAAAAGACGAGTAGAAGAAAGGCATTGGAAATACGAGACATCGAGCATCTCTCGATAAAAACATTTTATATCCTTCCCTAGGGGAAAGGAGGAACACAAACGCGTTGGCAAGATATAGCACAGGAAGAACTGTCAAATCGTCGAAGAACCAGGAAAAGCGAATATTTCTGAAAGAAAATTTTCTCGAGTAATTACTTTCAACACTGTTCGATTCTCTAGATCTCTCGTTGACGTATACAATCGTGAGCCTGCTCAGATCGACTCCCTCTTCTCATCGATCCCAATGTTTTCCGTCGTATTTCATACGTCGTGACGCGTTCACGGTCTGCCGATCTGAATCGCTATCCGTCACGCGTGATTCGGTCGATCGTTAATTTTCCTTGAAATTAATTATCCCTAATATCGAATTAATCCCACGGTAAATTCATCACATTGATATTTCTTTCTGCTGCACGGCTACAATCCACTCTCTCGCTCGAATAGTGCTGCTTACGCGATTATTTATCGGTGATCGCGTCGATCGATAATTCCTTCTTTACCTACACACTCGACACACTCGACGTGCTCTTTCGGAGGTTTCTCAATGGCGTTTCCTTCCCTTCCGTCGTATCTATAGCATCCTTTCAACGCTACGTCGAGAACGACGACATCGATCGATTGTCATACATCAGTGGCGCTACACGCGGAAATCATTTCGAAAGCAATGAAAGGCACTATTTAGACGTTACGTGGACACAGGTAGTACCGATAATAGTCATAAAACGGTACGGTGCTTCCGCCTCGGAAAGTAATTACAGCAAGTTTGTTGTCGCTCGCGTGCACGATATTGCGGATCCTGTCATCCGTACTTTTCCACGTGATTATGATACGCTGTACCGAGCTATACTCGATTCGATAATAGCTGCACCGGTAACGTTCCCCGTTAGGTCAATTTCGCCCTAAACTTGTCTGCCATTCTTTTCGAGGTTAATCGCGACCGTGCTGGATCGATTTATCGATCAGTCGGATGGACGTCGATAAGATTGGAACAGAGCGTGTCCAACGGGACATGTCCTCTGGTGTAACTGCGATTTCGAGTAAGGGGTACGTTATAGACGAAGGTTTATCAAAACAGGGGATGGTCTGGCTTAAATCACGAGTTTCCGTGAAAGCGTTCGAAATCTCGCTGTCAGTCAGTTTCCAGATCAGTTTCCTGCTCTTGAATCGTAACACTGGTCGGTTGGATAGAGAAAAAAGAAAGAAGCAGAAGAATATCGAGAACTTCAAAGAAGTGAGTTAAAAAGTAACACTGTATTTCAATGTTCGTTATATAGAACTT